AATGTTTACTTCAGTTTACACACTTACTGTATATAATAAACTATCAATAAATATCTTCAATTACATTTTTCATTCACTTATTTCTATTGTTCTACTTTGGAGCGGGGGTCTCTAGCACAAATGACTGGAGGGTCACCTCATAATTCCATACATACGTATATAAACAACGACAAATCCAAGAGTTAAGAGGAAAACAATATCTCTTTTCTGTGTTAAATTCTTCCGTTGGGCAACTGGACATGAAAGTTTCACTCAACAGAGGTGGGCTAAGACACAACCTATCATCCACATACCGAAACCATTCTGATGAGGATAACAACAACCCATCAGACTCCTAACGACTGTTGACACTTCCCCAGTTGACCCTGACAAAAGGGACTGAACTAGCTTTATTTTTTGTCACAACCACAGTATATACTGTATTTGCTGTACTCCCCTCAGTTAGAACTGAAGCCTCTTGGATGAGAGGCAAAATGTGACGTCCAGTTGCCTAACGGAACTCTTCAACCGCGACCTGGATGACTGAGAATCTTCATAGAAAACTCTTTTCTTTATTCGCTGTTAAAAACAAAACTCTTCTCTGGACGTTCTCCTTGATGGTCAACTTTCTTCAACAACTGTTATCACTCATCAATCATTTCCATAAGAGTTCTCACCTTGGTGGTGTTGTCCTTTGAGACACTGTTGAACATGGTGAGGTCTACAGACGTCTGGATGTCGTTGATGCGCCTGCTGGTCTCCTTAACTTTCTTCAAGACTTCTCCGGAATACTGACAACAACTAAACAACAAAAAACAATGTTTCTCATTATCACAAGCTCTACAAAACATGCTGTCTGTGACTCACTATTACCTGGAGTATTTCATTTCTATAATACTGCGTGCAAACTATTTCTTTAGCAGTAATTAGGAAGCCGTGTACTATCTGCAGTCTCGTATTTTTTACGGTATTAATTTGTTTACGTTGAGTGTGACCATTACCTACCGATCTGTGGATCTCTCAGGTCGAAGAAGTTCATGAAACACTGACAGCCCATCTGCTAGTCTGTGGAAAACATGATGATGTTGCAGCTGAAATCGAACCTGCACGTTCCAATGGCAGACATTAAAGAAGGGACATGGAGCAAAAATTAAACACCAAAATATAAAACACTTTAGAGGAAATTATCCAAAATACACCCATACACTAATTTGTCTCCTGGAACTGCCTATATAGCTAACTGTTTATTTAAATTCATTATTTCACTATTTAATTTACATTGGGCAAATATTTCATATATTATATATTTATTTTATATACTTGTTCACATAACATCCTTATAATGATACCAGTTTTGCTTATATATACATACAGTATCATAGGTATAATGTGGTATACTTTACTACATCACCACATCATACCAATTTAATTTAGAATAACATCCACTGTTCAGATTTCCCATATTCATTGACAGTGTGCTGCTACTCATGTATTTTACCTATTTGTGCATTTTTTATTGTTGTTTTAGTGCTGTACTGCTGCTGGAACTCCCAAGGAATTCACAGAAAGTCCTATCTATCTAAACACATGCATTTTCTTTTCACCCACTGGTCTTACAGTCCCACAGTCGACAGCTGATCCTGTCAAAACATTTTTGGTGTCCACTGAGAAGTGCCAGTTAGGGAATGTAGCATGCATCGTGGCAGCAATTCATAGGCGTACGCCAGGTTCAACTGTGTCATGATTAGACATTTAGCTGATACAATAACTGTCAGACAATTAGTCATAATATAACAATTAATATGCTTTTATTGGTTTCACAACACAGTGCTGTTACATGATAAAATAACCCTTAATGTCATAACATTGTTGCAGTACGCCAGTCTTCCCTTGTTTATTGCGTTTGTTGTTTGAGTTCACCTTCACGTTGGTTATATCTTCTGACGCTCCTCAGAAAATGTTAGGGTCTTCATATCACTAATTATTAGTGATATCAACTTAAGACATCCCTGGTAAACGGACGGCAACATACCCAACTAAATAACATGAAAGGATACAGTCACAGTCTATGCACCGCACGGCTCCTGTGTACCACACGTTGGCCACCTGTGTGGGGAGACATTGTTGAAGGTAAATATTAAAAGGCATCAACGCAATCATGGCTTCACTTCACAAATTATTGGTTTGCTCTACATTACTGTGTCACCAATAACCTCAGGAAGAAATCCATGTTGTACTACTTTCCTTTTAAAGTAAAATAATACAACTTTACTTTGAAAGTAAAGTTGAAAAATTTACTTTTATAAAATAAATTCAAATAAATTAATTCTACTGGCCTTAGTCGTGTCCTTTTCATAACTACAGTATGATTTTCATATCATACACACTATAGAGCATATAGACTTATGTTTGTAACACAACTGCAAGTCAAACTTGGCAGAGCTCGACTAATAGAGTCGCGTTGCCATTTGTAGCTCCAAGTGGACATTCCATATTCTTGATGTCAAAATAATTACTATCCTATAGTCATTGGTGGCAAACATTTCGTGTCCACTCACTGGATCATTTGCGACGGAAAACAGAAGGTCTCCTTCTCCGTTGTACTTCATCTGAGTGATGGACCGTTCGTGGTCCTGCAGCAGAATGGGTATCTGCAAAAGCAATATTTGTAAGTTCATCTCATATTTTCAAAAATGTGCATCAGCCACGCCCAAACCCCTGTCATAGCCAATTCCGTATTTACCACGACAACGTTAGATTCATTATTTAGAACAAAAAAACTAACTACGAATCATTTTAACTTCTGACAAAAGCTAACGTTAGCTGCCGAGACGCACATGCTAGCGCAAACTGCACTAACGGTCTCGACCGAACGACCACCATTTCAAACAAAATACAACCGACAACTGTTTTCAAAAACCCACCATTTCAATCAATCACATGTAGCCACCGTGCCCAGTTTTTTGGACGCCCGCTGGAAGCCCAAACGGCTAACACTCGTGTGTCATGCGCCAGATCCGTATCCGGAAGTAAAGACCGGACAATGTATTCCTGTTTCCGTCATACAAACGTTCCAATATCAGCGCGCCCCCTACAGTTGACCGCTGACAGTCACTTTTTTAGTTTAGTCTCTTAAAACGTTTCCTTTGATAGAAAAGGCGTGCTTTGACGATGGTAACAGAAAAGCTCATTGGTGAAAATCTACAAAAATAAATAATTTAAATACAAAATAATTTCAAATACTTTTGTTCTCGTTTAGTTTATAGTTATTTCATATATATAAATAATATTGGCACTTATTATATTGTGAGAGACTTCTGCTCACATGCAACTTGAGTGCTTGAAAGGGTCAATAGAAACTTATATGCCAGCCTGATTACATGGTAAGCATCTGTCAGGTTATATTGTGTGAGGATCAGATAAACACAGTTTTTGCAAGAAGAGCAGGTCTTGCTTCAGGGAAACTCTCAAATGTCCCAATTAGCCACTCCGGCCTTGAAGGAAACTCTTATTGTGGTGTTGAAGAGAGGAGGCACAAATTCCCTAGTTTTCAAATGGCACTAAATGATTAAAACAAGTCCTGTATTTGCATATACATGGCTTGTTTTAATCAATAGTTTATGATTAAAATTGTAGAATGATGATAAATTAGGGTAATAGAGTTAATGTGTAATATGTGTACACTGTAGATAAAAGATGAACATTGGGATATGGGATAAACCCTCTGATGATGGTTGCAGGAGACCAGGGTTCAAATCTCAGTATTTGGAGTATAACACTTTTCAAAATTGCTTTTAATTGTATTGTAGTCATGGAAAAATACTGTGACTTAATGGGAAGGTGATTTGTTATGGTAATTTTTTTCTTATTCCAACTTCTGGAATATTACCTACAACTTTACTTCACAAGATCCGCACAAGCATTTTGTACACTTTAATGCACACACTTTCACTTTGTGACAGTTGGTCTGTGTTATATTCCAGCAATTTTTCCTAACTAAAAATAAGAAGTTTTCTCTTGTTTTTTTAGGGTCTTTGTCTACCAATCAGCAGATTTCTGGCCAGGTTGTTGATACAAATGCTGAGCGGCACAGACTTCCGACACAGTGCTGATGGACTGTTTGCTTGGACTGAGCTGCTGCAATTGAGCGGCGTTGACGGCCTGAAGAAAGTTGTCATTCAGAACCAGTGAGCACTGCCGGTGCTAACAGGTGGGTATGTGCTGTCGTCTTTATGCCTGAACGTAGCTGAGCTGCATGGAAATGCACGTGTCCAGCAGCTGCAGAGAGTGTGTTTGTATTCATTTTTATTAGTATTGGAGAAGTGTCTTTTTTTTCAGAATATGCTAAAAGTGAACTAAAATCTAGCTTAAAGAAACTTTGAATTTGCCAAATTGCTAAAATTAGCCAAAAGCTGGTCTAGGATAGAATAGACGGAGTGGAGAGTTAACAAAATATATTTTCTTAATAAAACCTAATGTTGGCAATGAGAAGGTAACATAATTTAAGGGAACTGAAGGTGAAAAATAGATTTTGTCTGAAACAGTTGCATAAACAACACATGCACAAATAAAATGTATTAAATTAAATCAATTTACATTATTCCAATGGAATACATGAACAGTAACTTTTGCACTGTAAATCTAAGTAAGTCTGCCTTTCAAATCCAGACACATCATCTCCGACCTTTGCAGTCTTCTGTATAACTCTGCTGTGTCAGATTTGTCCATCTCACTAACTATCACATCCTCACAGGAACAGAAACCAGAAACGATGGTATGTATGCTGTCACACTACATGACACTGGGTGTGATGTCATCTGTAAATGTCCGACCCCCGTTTTCGACACAATTAAACGGTCTCACCCTGTTATTATAAATGGAACGAGCTATTTAAACATTATCCAGGAAAACCACATCTGTAATTTTGGTTCCTTAAAATAGGTTTACTTGACAGAAAAAATAGTTTTCATTAAGGTCAGCCAGAGGCTTGATGAGTGGATGAGGTGAATAGATTTACTCTCTATAAGTTCCCTACAAACTTCCTTTGAATCAGTTTCCTATAGAATAACCCTTTTCTTTTTTAAATTTAGACAAAGTCTTAAAATGTTAAAGGCCTTCATTGACCTTTGACTGAACTCTTAGTCACTGTATTTGCAGCCAAGCCGTGTTAAAGCGCTTGTTATTTACTTGCTTTTCTTCAGGTGGTTTGATGGCAGTTTTCAAACATTAATTAAACATCTACTGAAAACATATGCAATATCTCTGGATTTAGAGAACAGGAAGAATGTAGGAAGTTGAGCCTCGGAGCCAAACTGCTGCCTTAATGAACCACTAACTTACAGCACGGTTTACAGTAATGGAAAAAAAGCTTTAAGTTTTTTTTATTCTGGTCTCATAGTAATCTGAAAAAAAAAACAGCACAATTAAACAATTTATTTTAAGTTGTGAAAAAGAAACATAAAGGCATCTTAAAGTGCCTTTCCCCTACCCCCAGAAGGGATTTTTTTTCCATATTTAAAGCTACGTCACACATTAAATTTGAATGTGTTCGTTTCTCAGATGTGTGTTTTATAACACGTTTGCTCTGAAGTTTGATATTGTGTTCAAACATTTTAAAAAGTTTTTTGTTCACCTGCAGTACCTATGAAGATCCAGTGAGGGCAGTGTGGCTCCATTTGAGCAGCTGGCTAGTTCGTAAATAGGCTTCTGTCTCCGCATATCCTGCCCAGGAAAGGCAGAATTATAATAAGTTATTAAGATGTATTGACACCAGATGTGCCCTTGCCCAATTCACAGGAGGGTCAAAGAGGTGCAGGCAGTAAATGGCCATGAATATGTGAAGACAGAAAAAAAATCTTAGACTCATGTTTTTGGTGTCCAGGAATACTATTTAAAAAACTTGATGCCCTTTTGTAAGATAAAGTTATTATTTAATTTTTTATTTAATTAATTTACTGCCTACGGTCGTGGCTCCCAAACATTTTTTGCAGTCTTGTAAAAGTGGATATTGTCACAAAAAATAAACTTTCTTCAGTGATTTTCTTTCCCTCCATTGTGGCACAAATAATAATAATAATAATAATAGAGATTCTGGTTTATTACTAAAAAAGTTCCAAAGGAAGTATCTCTAATGTTGTGGGAGTAACATAAGGCAAAGTATGGAGGACTAGTTAATGTGTGATTGTCAGAGGTGGAGACAGTCAGTGCAGTTCAGTGAACATCACAAAGCTTAGTTTTATTTAAATTAAATTCTGTAAATGCTGGAATAAAATGTCTTATTTATTGGAAGTTAACTACCTTCACAGAATATACCCATGCTGCAGTACATATTTGGTTGTGTTTGCCCTATGTCAGACTGTGATGAAGTGTCCCTGAAAACGAGGGGTCATAAAACCTGCATGTTTTGATAACTAAAGGCAGTGTGGTGCCAGAGGTGATCAGTGAAATCTCCCACACTGAGATGATGTCACTGATAACCTCCCAGACCACATCAAGTCCTGTCTGCAAAAAAATGTCCCTGCCTGTGCCTTAACCCACACTTACTTCGTCCTCAGGCTGTTGACATAGATCTTTGTTGTGTTGTGGATTTGTTGATTTTACATATTAGTGTGAGTCAAAGCACTGGCCATAGGGTTAAGGATGCCTTACAGATGCATCGCTCACTTTCAAGTCCTAACAGTCGGGCTACTGTAAATATTTAGGTTAACAGTCGATGTCTGACCATTTCAACTGACTGAACATCTCTAGCACAGGTTGTATGCACAGCTGTAAGGAGGCCGAACAAAGGCTGATGTTGTCGGGAGCTCTACCTGAACTGAACATTCCTTTGTTCGTCCGCTCACACAAAGGACGCCTCACACAGGAAAGTCTTTGTGTCTTTTGCTTTTTACTGTTCCTCTCTGTATTTGACCTATAATATATACTGTAGCTTCTTGGTGACAGCTGAGGTCACCGACCTAATTAACGCCTAAAGCTACCTGAAAGGTTAGAGAACAATTAGAACATATAATTTACATGTCAAACCCAGAGGAAAATACTTAGTTACTTTGACAATTCTAACTGCAGTTTTTTTTCTATAGAATTCCCATATTAGTAGTTAGTAGTTAGTAGTTAGTAGTAATTCCCAGATATAAGTAGTTGCACACTTTAAGAACGCAACTGAAATTTGAATTGTGATTTGGTAAAGTGTTTAAATCTTTAATGAGCATGTAATTTTACCGAGTCGTCAAGGCAAGTTTTTTTAATCACAATTCGATCATTTATAAAGTATTTGTTTATGAAAGTTTTAGTTGTTGATTAATCATCTGAATGACCTGGGGTCAATACATATGATGTACAGACAGATCCAGAGAGATCTGGACTGCAGGCAGGCCAGTCCAGTCCAGGCAGCATATAATTCAAAAAAAAAAAAAAAAAAGAAATCTCCCTTAAAAAACAGAAGCTAAAACAAAGTAGAAACACAGAAAAAAAAAAAACAACAGAGCCCAGTGGGTCTGTACGATAGCTAGATTATATATTATATATAATATATAAATATTATTTATAATATTTATATTATCATTATACCTATGCCTTTCCCCTGCAATAGCCATGTTTCCCCAATAGATGGTGTAGAAAATGATAGAAGCATTTAAGCCTTTTATGCATGACCTTTACATGTCATTTGTCTTAGTTCACACGAGGGCCCAAGGTGCCAATAGTGGCTGCAGAGCAGCTGGAAGTGATTCCACAAACACAGTGAGGAGGAGGACGCAGTTTAAAACCACACACTCTCTCGACTGGGGTTCCACACTGTTCTCATCAATTAACAACCAACGGCTCCGCACGGACTCACTGTGACTGTGTTTGTGTTAAACAAGCAAAGACGACAATGATGACTGAGTTGAGGATGTGCGACCTGGGTGTAACGTGCAGCTTGGCTACTGTGCTAGCTGTGGAGAGTAGAGTGGCTGATCAATCACATAAGAAAATGAAAGGTTACTGTTTTGTCTGATATATAACTAGTAATATTGTTAATTTGATCTATGCGTTCGTTTATACTCCGTTTTGCACCAGTGGGCTGCAAGGACGGTGGGACTGTATATGTTATCGACTGAAGACCCCAACTTCATCAAAAACATCGTTTTGTTTTTTAGACTGTGAGCGGCTTTGGTTTATTACTGAATTCAGTTAAATCCCCCTTCTTGCAAATACTTTTGTTTATAAACCTGTAGATATTCCTGCAGGTTCTAGAAGTAAACTTGACCACAGCAATCTTTTTTGGCACTGTTTTCTGCCACATTAGGTATTATCTGCTTTAATTATCCCTCAGATATGATCCTTAACACAGCAACATACACACAACGCACACAGTTGTGACCACACATAGTTATGCAGAGATACAATGTTAGAATGACCTGTAGATATAAAACTCTGTAGTGCTTTGAGTTTTCCTTTTTTTGACCTTGTTTTACATCTTTAACTCTGAATGCACCCCACTCCTGTGGTCAAAACTAAATGACCAATATTCTGTGTTAAATTCACCTCATCTAATAGACTATGAGTGGGACTGAATTTATCAGATTCTCTTCGTTATTAGCCATTATCTAAAACAGCTATATTTTCTTCTTAGCTTTCACCCAACACACGCACACACACACACGCACACACACACACACACACACACACACACACACACTCACAGGCTCTCAGCGGCTGTAATGGAGTTGGTACTAATCAGCTCGTTGTTTCCATCTCTTTGAAAATAAATGCTCCTAATGGCACATAAACGTGCCCTGTTTTCTTAATAGCTGAAGTGGCTGTTTCATCCACAGGTCAGAGAATTTGCTCTGCGGAATCGCACTGATGTCTATCTTGAGTGTTTGCAGTCCATTTCCATGAGGTGAGAGCCATTAATGGTTCAGAGTTGTACAATCTGAACGTGGCTCTCTGTAAGTCAGACCCCACTAGCGGTGGTGTCACCAACTATAACTATCAGATCTCAGCGTCCAAATGCAACAGTGATTTCAACACTGTTGGCCCATTAGGCCTTTAAATACACGACAGAGTGACCTCGGCGCTGTGCGAACATACGTGACCTGCTGTTCTTGATATGTCAAAGTCTAATAATTAAAAGTTAAGTGCAGCGAGTGCACATGCACGTCCACAGCACAAATACAAGAACCGCTGCATTTCTGGGTGATTAAATTCAGACCTGGGTCCACAGTGAAAATCTCTGTTTTTCATTTGTGAGCCATTAAAAGATTATAGCTGTGGTAAGTTTTTTATAGATATCTCTCTCTCTCCCCCACTCAGGGGCTGGGTCCCAATAAACATCTTTATGTAACCTCTCCTATCCCTCTGCTGGAGTTTAACTGAAGGAAAGATTACACCTTGAAAAAGCAGATTTCTTTAACCTGATATCAAACTTGCATATCAGCAAAGCACCGAGGAGCCAGGAGCAAAACTGACCTACTGCCTGGCCTTCCAGGTCACTTCTATTGTAAGGCTAATCCTCCGAGGCTGGCTCTAAGCCGACCATATATTTCCTTCTCAGAAAGGCCGTGCTTATTTACATTTATGGACCATGGCAGCCTTACAGAATACAGTCTCACTGCACTTGTAAAATAACTTTAAATGTGTGTGCAAGTACAAATGAAACAGAACATGGACAGAAGAATGAGTATCAAATAAATAAATTCTAATGTCTTTCTAATATTTTAGCAATTTTTTTTCAAGACTAGTATTTGTACCTTCTAGTTTGACAGAATAATAATAAAAATAATTGATTCCCTCATTCATCACACATTGGGGAACTTTACAGTGCTGCCATATGTGGTTCCTCTGGGAATTGAACCCAGAGGTACCACAGACAGAGTGAGTTGCCTCCACTCAAATCATATTTTTTTAAAAGAATAATAATTAGCTGAAAAAATATTATATTATATTTTCAAGACCCCAAAGTAAAAAAACTGCGCTCTAAAGGCTGCTGATTCACTGCACATAAATGACTACATCCTCGGCCGATCAGAGAGCTTCCTAAAATCTACAATGACTCTTAAATTAACCATGACTGCAATTTGTTTTTTTTGTTTTTCTGGAAACCTAAAAATATGACTCAGGGCAATTATGCTAGGCTAACAACGTAAGAATTGTAACTTAAACCTAATCAATAAGAAGTAAAACGGATTCATTCTTGTGTGTCCAGGCAATCTGGGGGTCTGACGACCAATGGTCAGGGCCCACATCATTGGTTGTTGGCGGGATGAGAATGGAGAGGAATGGGAAAGGNTCTGGCAGTTTCCTGGCGTTGACTGGTTTCTCCACTACCTGGGGATGATGGGATATTTACAGATCGTGTGGGGTAGATGGGGTGAGACCAGAGGGTGGCCAGACGTCCCAGTTTCTGCCTTTCGCATGCATGTGCAAGACCGTCTGTATTTTCAACATGTGATGTGTTTGGTTGGGGAGGGGGGTGGGGTGGGGGGGTGTTTGAATATCCAAATATTTTCCTAACTGATTTTCTGTCAGCAGCTTTTGCCAAATTATGTATCTGATTCACTCTGTCCTGGTTGAAAAGGTTCTTTCAGTAGAAGTGCTGACTGGTCCCCATGAAACTTAGCTTCAGCCTTAAAAAACAACTGAATCACATTTCAGTTCCATTTACTAAATAATAAATTGTAAAATTAATTAATTAACAACACATTTGCAGCCCTGATTGGTCGGTTGGTTGGTTTTAACTTTTGTTTTTCTGCACAAAGTCACAGAAAACGTCATTACACTGCAGAAGGACTTCACATTACTTCACATTAATCTGGATTTCCTGTTTTATAACATATACCAAGTCCTGGCCTCCCAGACAGGCAACAGGATCTGTGTCTGATCACATTGTTGTAAAGCAGAGTTCAAAACGTTTACCTAGGATTTATTAAACCACATGAAAAACCTCTTTAAATAATGTGCTGGCTGCAAAGACGACAATCACAGAGAATCTCCTTATGGGCGTGTGACGTACAAGAGCCGAGAGATGTATTTCACTTTAATTTCCCCCCCAGACAGCAGCCGCCGTGGCCCCAGCGCCATCACCCAGGCACACTCAAGGATGTTATTGCTCCGCTTTCCGATACTGTACACGATAAGAAAAATAGCAAGGGGTCTCAGAGAGGGTACGGTGTGTGGAATTTATGAGCTGCTGAAAGTAACACTTTAACAGATACTTTAGTCGGTAACATTACACTGAATCTCCAAAAGAGCGCTTGTGTTTATCATGAGAGCTAAAAAAAACGAACTGCTGATGTGTCAGGTATTTAATAAAACCGCAGAAATTTTCTCCTGAGTAAATCTAATGAGTAGAGATTTGACGGAGAATATTTAAACAAATAGAAAGACAGATGTGATTTGTATATATATATATTTGTATATCACAAATCATATATGTGTATATATACTGTACACATATATAAACATATATACATATATACATATATAAATATATAAATATATACACATATATACATATATATGTTTAAATATGTATATGTATTAGAGACTGGAGACAAACTTCAAAGTCTCAAATCTCATTAATCACAGGGTGGCTGTAGAACAATCACAATTAATCATGACTAATTGAAATCCTTATTAATCATGATTAAATTTAATTAATTGCAATCATAATAATCATGATAAATAAAAATTAATCAACATTCCTAAATAAAACAATAACCCTTCCCCCCACCCCGGTATATTGCTGTGACAGAACTGGACAGACTACAGGGATGAACACACTTTTTAAATGAACGTAAGCAAAACAATACCTTTTCTCAGGGCATTTCTCAACTCCCAGGTCCGTGGCCTCGTACTGTAGACACACTTCACTGGACTGCCTGCGGTCCAGATCCTCCAGCTGTTGCAGATGTTTAGAAAGTGATGAAAAAGAGGATTAGGCATCGACAACCACCAAATGCTGGGTATAACTAAGGTATATAAGACGACAACTGTAAAAAGATACCAGTTCAAGAGATAATTTGTCACATGAATCAAGTTAAAACTAGTTTTGAAAAAGCAAAACTTAAAAAGCGATCATTTATTTTCAAACACTATTGACAGTAATTAATGCCTTAATTAAAGCCTTAATTTCCAAGCTGGGAAATATGAACCAAAAGAAGATGTCACCACAGTGTGGATCAAAGAGGATTTGACTCCATGTGTCTCTAAATAGAATTAAAAAAGTACACATTTTTTGGTGATATTCTTTGTGAAAGCCATAATACGTGTTAAGCCATACGTGAAAGCCATAATACGATGTAAATCATCTGTTCACCTGGTTAATTTCACCTATGATTCCAAAGGGCAATAAACCCAACGTATATTGTGTGTTGGCCTTGAGAAAAACTTTACAAGCATCAGTAGCTGATTTTGTTGTGGCAGCCTTTCAGTCTCTCTGCGTGTTTTTTTTTTTTATCAATAGCGCCGAGGTGTTCAGTATGTAGGTGTAACCTTACTGGGTAGAAAAAGATCACATCTGCTGTCATTAACTACAGCACTGAGATACAGGTTTTAAAGCCAGTGCAGGCGAGTTTTCAGCGGTCCAGCATCATTAGCTGGGACACCGAGTGGTGCATGTAGTAATTAACGTCCCTGTATACTGGTGTTGTCAATGTTACGAGGTGAGTGACGTGAGGCAGACCAGGTCTATAACAGGTGGAAGCAAAGGTCAGGAGGGAGCAGGTTTCTGGAAAAGGCTTAGGATTATCAAACACGCAGAGTGGGAGAGGAAATTTAATTTCCTATCTGGCCACTGTTAAATGCTCACTGGCTACTTGTGCAGTAGCCTGGCACCAGAGGGTTAGGGGTGAGGTAGGCAGTGATGAAGCACCACCACTGCCTATCACAGACTTTCTTTCTCCTTCATATTTGTTACTACGATTAAAAAAATTTTGAAGACTTAATTATAAAAACTGACCAGAGAGAGCACAGGTTTTTCTTCTCACAATCAATGTCATGTGATGTAAAAACAGTGACAATGTTGTTTCTTTAGCTCAGTTGCTACTTGTATTATGTATTTTGTAGTATCAACACTGAGAGGTTCAGGAACACTGCTGAATCAGTTTTGAAAGAATAATGAGAACCTTTATCTTTTCACATAATATCTAACATTGGTCTTTGCTGTAAGAGGCCAGCTATCGCTATGAGCTAGTAGGACGTCGTAGTTAGCACTGTTGTTTCTTCTTCAATCAAAGTTAAAATGACCAGAAAAGAATGTCACACGATCACTTTGAATTAATATGAACTCATTAACTTAATGTTTTTCTTTAAAATAAGTTCACAACACTAAGAGTCTTGAATTTATAAAAACATAACTTACTAACCCAGGAGTATCAAGGTCAGAGAGGTCCTCACTGTTCTCTGGAGACCTGTGTAGCTCTTTTGTCCGGTCTCAAAGCTGCGGTCTTGTCCTGCGTGTCTAGACAGAGGAAAATAGTGAAATATTTGCCAGTTCATACTGTAAGTGGACTTATTCTGAGAGAAGAAAGTTTAATTACATTTTCCATATCGATAACCTTTTATTAGCTCTGACATTTTCACTCTCTACTGCCAAATACTGAAAAACAGGAGTTACGGGAAAACATAATTTATTTATTTTTTTAAATTGCTCGATGTTCTTCAACATTTCACTACAATACAAATGAATCTGTGCTTAAACAGAGGTTAATTAAACAAATTTTACTGATAACGCTGAATACTTGATTAATATAATTATAATTTAACTATGAATGTTTCCAAACCCAACAAACCACCCAATACCTGTAGAAAAACTAGTTCTTCAAAAAACTTAGATTAATGTTTGACCCTAAAATATATATATACCAAGGGCCAATACAGTCACTCTGTGAACGTGCCTGTGTTTTTGTCAGGTCAAACGCAGACAGATCACCTTTCAGCAATTAGTGCACTGGAGGAGAGGAAGACTGAACAGACATTGTCCGGCTGCAGCCCTGAGTGTCACTGGCTACCGAGCATCACTTTAACCAGGCTCTGCGGTGTTAAACCACTGGCTCTGCTCGTGCATCATGACTGGCAGTGGAGAAAAAATAAACAGCCCTGGATTATGATAATTGGTTGGTCAGCTCCAGCTGAAGTGCCGCAGTGAAGACACGCTCAATTAATCAACTGTTCTGCTGAAAGTTTTTTTTTTTTTTTTTTTTATAACAGGCACAACAATAACCCTTTAACAGATGGGAATCATTTTCCCTAATTAAAAACAGAAATAAATACTGCCCTATGATAACAAAATCCCTCTGGTTGTTACACACTCTTCAGTCATAGCCTGGAGATTGTTTTAATGCCAAACCAGAGGTGATGAAGTCAACTGGACGCTGTCTTTTTTTTTGTTTTAAAGACCTAAATTTTCCGTATTTTACATGAGAGGGGCAAGAATGTACATGATATTTATTCATATTAAATGAAATATTTATTTTAAAATGTTTTAGATAAAATTGTTACATTTTGAGCTAAAGCTATTCACTACAAAAATATAAGGGACATTTTAGGGACAAAAAGTTGTGTAAAACAACTTTCCTTGGTGTTTGTGTTTGAATAAACCCTCTCTCTCCTACCGGGGGTGCTATGAACATTGCTGTAATAATAAAAGTGATTTGTGTATACACACCTGTCTGAGTGAATGTCCGCCAGCTGATGAACAACTTGACGTGGCGTTTCTGTAAATAAAATACAGCAAGTTAATTCACATAATTCACATCAGTTTTTGTGTCATTTTAGGTTCATAAGAACAACATGACAACAGGCGGCAGTGAAGAAGACATGACTGTAGGATTTAATAACATAAATACTGTACGTTACAGCTTCAGACGGTATTTCAATCACAACTTTTGTGCCACCGCTCAGTACTAAAAAAATACAAATAGAAAACATTATGTGTTAAAAACTAAAGTTCACCACATTGAACTGAACTCTACTTAGAAACAGTGTCAAAGAGTCTACTGTACTGTATCTCCTAAGCCTGTATTTCCCAACAAGGCATTCTGGGATATTGGTGCTGAGCCAGTTTTGGAGTGGACTTTGGGAGTAGACAGGTTGTAATCTCACCCAATCCATTTTAATCCATAAAGACATGCTACTTCCAGTCCGGGGTCAGGGCTGTGTTCATCTGAACTTACATCCCACTGAAGAAATGCTGTAATATAGCTTCGATTTATTCAGTTTTTATTTGGCACAGATTGTCTGAGTAACAGACTTCTTGCCTGGGGCATTAATAGAAAGACCTTTGACTAGTGGTTGATGGCAGAACGGTTGATTCAAATGTAAAAAGAAACAAGTAACAGTTTACTTGTTCATTAAGTTCATTAACAACACAGATAATAGCACTTGCAGAACTTGTATCCTTCTATATTTCACCCCCAACAATGGTCCAAAACCAAGCACGACAAGTCTCCCCTTTGTTCAGAAGACCCCCCCACCCCCGTCGAGTGACAGGAGTTAATATCACTTTGTGGATTGGATGTGATAAGTTCGGCACGCTGCAATATTTTCTCCACATCTATTTGGGCCCTGTGTCCAGCAGAAAGCTCGCCCTAGATCAAATCTGTGCTTGACTGCCTATGAATCGGCCTCTTTGTCTCTCCCCGCAGATCAAAATCACCAAGGCCAAGGCTGTGCCCCCGTGTGCCGTCGCCATGGGAATGGGGACTGTGGCTGCCAGTGGTTGGCTGTTTGCGTTGGCTGCAAATCAAAGCATGAACGATGGTCGGGATTGGATGAGGTGAAGTGGGAGGTGATGTATCTTGACGTGGGACGGTAGAAGTGATGCTAGAAGTTCAGTGTCTCGGTAAACAGGAAGCCACACTACACTGGTATTCCTTCAGGAAAGGGATCTGCTTCTCCTGACCACCTCTGACCTGTCATCAACTCGACGTGCACTCCTGATACTGACAAGATCTGTGAGTGTCACGACCTGTGACATGACCCTGCTCTTTACAATACAGTTACACGTGTGAAGCCTTAAAAAACAGCAACAAACTAAATAATAATATCAACCACAGAAATTGTTATAGCTGCTGTGTTCACAAATCAATAACCCCAGAAAGCAGATACCAAATTATTTACACGATTTATTGTGATTAATCACGATTAATCATGATTGTGATTAATTATTTGGACCTGATTATTCAGAGGCTAGTATTTTTATTATGATGATCGTGATTAGCTATGAATAATCACGTAAGATCAACAATCTAAGATATAAACCTTTTTCTGTATATTATATATATAGAGTTTGAAGTGCTACGTGAGATCAAACCTCCACAGTGTGTGTACATGACAACATGTGTTTCAACTGTAGTAGATGGACTATGTAAATGTAAATATAAATACAAATACGATGCAAATGTATAAACACTAGTAAATGCATTTAACCTCGACAGCCCTAATAACCATTTGTTTTGTAACAACCCACAGATGAAGTTATCTGCAGTTGTCGTTTCTGTAGGCACCATTCATATTCAATGACTCAGGCCATTTATCACTGCCATGCCATGACTTCCTTCGTAGAAACTCCTGTTTTAACAGGCGTCCAGTAGTCAACGACAGCTGAAGCAGAGGCCGTCTCTGTAGGGGGTTCGCTGGCTTACAAGGCTCTGACGTCCCCTGGCCCTCTCACATTCAGGTGTAAAACCCTTCGGCCGGCACGGCCAGCCCGACATTGCTCAGGACTCGCAGCGCCACACTGTCTGCTGCAGCCCCTCAACCTCCCTGACTGCTACTAAAATAGAACCAACCTCACACCAAGACACGGCTTCACAGCTAGCACATAAAAATCTGAATATTCAAAGGACTTGCAGCTCATCCATCATGTTTTTGCACTTTTTCTACTCATGATTTTAGTGGGGGGGTTTTTCAAATGTGTACAGTCAATTAATCAAACTGGGTGGGCAAACTCAATCAGGGATAATTTACTGTACACTATTCATACCTTCTGTGGTTGTTTGAAAATGAAAATGAATTGCTTGTGCTCCTGTGAATTAAACCTTGCCTTACCTAACCTAATTGTTGTGTATATTGGGAAAAATATTAATTCACCGAAAAACAGTAATCTTATCAAGAGGTGATATTTTTATAGGCAACGGTTGATGTTCTATTTGGGGCCATTATCTGAAATGATAAACAGATGATTCCCTCCACTATTCATCTCTATTTCCTGTCCAGAAGCACAGTGGATATCAAAAGCACACATGTTCATTCATATCTTCAAGCGTCTGTCTCAGAATGACACCCCGGGGAACCAGGCTCAGCCTCTTCCTCCTCTCTCTGCTATTTCCAGGTCAAAGGCTACCGTCTGCTGGTGAGAAGTTTCCCATCAAAATTCTAACACAGAGCTGTTTGGCTAGATCTATGCCTCAGAAAGTACCACCACAGTTAAAGTCTTTGGGGCAAGGTGGAAGAAAGAACATTATGTTTGTATTTACTAAAACAAAAATGTAAAAACGATAAAGGAACTGAAGACGTGAAGATGACAGCCTAATGTAAGGGAAGAAGAAAAGTTGTTACGAATAACTTTCAACAACAAATATTCAAAAGGAGATTTTTTTGTCACGTCAGCTCACTGTACATTTCAGGTACAGTAGTGAATGAGCTGAGTACAATGGATTGTTTGACAGATGAAATCAGTCTGTAGTAGAACCGCACAGAATATAATGAATAAGGAGAATTTATGCTGGATCTCAGGGCATTTTTCTTTGCCCTCATTAGTGTCACCACTGATTTCCCCTCTAATATTGAGCCCAGGTCTCCACGAGGGACCCCTGTAGCATGGAAGCGGATCTGTCGGGTGGAGTGATGATGATGGGAGCCTCTTGACACATGTGTACTTTTACAGTTAGAGGACATGCATAATGCATGTGGCTCTATCCAAACATCCAGCGCCCAGCTCTACCGGCGTGTTATCTGGTGTCTGACTCGGGCTCTCTTCCTGGAGTGGGATGGCGTATCAAATTCCTGGAGACCCAGTTTCCTCTCGAGTACACATGTAAATACTCACAGTCTGCGAGAGTGTGCATGTTGACATGCAACCGGGACGACACACAAATACAATTGTAATGCCTACTGGGTGAGGGCTAGACCTTGTCCTATAAATGGGCTTTGCTGATCATATGATGAGCTTTATTAAAAAGTAAACTATTATTCATTTCCAAATCTTACAAATTTAAATTAAATTAAAACTGATCATGATGATCTCATCTTGACTTGATAGAAACACGAAATACAAAAGAAAAATATAGGCATCTGAAGGCTGACTTTAAACTGAGGTTTTTACAAGTATAAGGCTAAAATATTTCCAAATTAATGTCAACGGTATTCACGTTATGAAATAAAATGTGAAAATAGAAGAATTGTCAAACAACAGCATGAGGATAAAACCTTCAACAGTGAGACAGAAAGACTACATTACGAGACATCTTAGCAAAACTTAAGAGGAAAGAAAAGGAAAAAAAAAATAGAATTATGTTTGAGCAAAGTTAAAAATCCAAGTTTGAATGAAGAAATTCATGAAGTGTTAATACGCTGTAATCCATATGTTGTGGCAACAGCTAACATTTTCAGTTTGGCCTGAAGAAAGTCTCTCCCCTCAGACTCATCAGATTACCATCTCTTAAGTAATTGCTTGTAACTGTTTGCCTTGCAGTAGGTGTCAGAAAGGTCGTGCCCTTTATCAAGTGGCTTCCCCGTCAGTTGTAAACACTGTTGCAGTCGTAGGTTAAAATGCTTTCAGTCGCAGTAGCCTGTGCCCAAGTTTGTTACACGTCACTTTGTGATGTAGATGCCTTACAGTTTCACTCCAAGGTTTCAAGTTCTTCCTGATTAGAGGTTTGTAACGTTTTCCTTCAACCGCAGACGTTGGTCTTTGTTACTTTATTACTCGCACAAAAACTAGTGACACAGTGAGGGGAAAAGGAAAGTCCTGAGAAAGCATAGTAAAAGCACTTCAAGTGTTGACTGTAGAGTTTTGAAAAAGTGAAGCCATCAGTGCGTGTTATGAAACCAGGTTGGGCTCTGAGCCAACTTGATTATTGCAGGAGTTTTCTAAACTTAAGCCGAAGGAGAATCGTACCCAAGGTGCCTTCCAGGGTCCATTTGACTGGCTTTTACACTCTATCTGTATTATACGACCGCTTTGTGGTTAGGGCCAACTGTGGGCCTTCCCTGAAAATGAAACCTGGACTTTGCCGACCTGACTTATATATGTGTGTATATATGTATGTGTGTGTGTGTTTATATGTCAGAAAAAGGCCAGGCACAGGGACTGGGGCTCCTCTGCTGACGTAAAAGTTTTGACTTTTCTCTGAAGCGTAGAAGTACTTTACATGTACCTCACACAGCGGTCCCAGAGAGTGTATATCTGAATATTACTGAGAGGCAAAAGTACGCTGGTAACTTATGTTGCGAAGGTGTTAAAAGTAGGAATGTCCCATATTATCATAATTATGTAATATTGGTAAAAATCATTATTGTTTTGTCCTCCATTAATAAAAACCCTATAATTTAATGCTAAGGTTCTCGCTAAGATAATTTAACCTAAGAATAGTTGTGAAAAAATGGAAGGGAATTATTATCATTGCACACAATGAAATGTGTGCAATGGTGTGCTGCAAACGTCTGCTATATTGGTATCGGCTGATATCAGAATCAGAAATTAAGTGTTTGG